ATTAGTATTAATGTATAATGTATAATTAAAATTAATTAACAATCTACAACTAGTATTAATTAATATTAACAATTTTCTATTTTTATTTTATAATGTTTGAAATTTATTTATTATTAATAGTAATACATGATAATTAATATTGGTGAGAAGTATAACTGAAAAAAGTGACAGAAACTCCTCGTAAGCTGTTTAAGTTAACGTTTCAATAAGCTAGTTTATATCCATCTAAATGTTTACCCAAAAATAAGCTAGTTTGTGTTTGCCAAACAATCCTTAATTTGTTTTTTTATTCTTTCTCACATTCTATATAAAATTATATAAAATGAAACAATATATTGCACTTATATTTTATTTAGTAAAACCTATTTATACTACGTATTATTGTTTACAACTATTTAAAATTTACACTTAGCTACATAATACGGGTGTACAACTAGCATCCGGATGGACAAAAAAGAGATAAAAATGAAACATGGTTGACATTTTATGTTATTGACTTCAAATAGATATATACATTGCAACATCACAAAGATAGCTTATTAGTTAGTTTAAAAGAGAGATTATAGTTGATAGTGAGTAGTAACCACAATTATAGGTTTTCTAATAAGTTGAGTCCCTTAATTAATCAACAAGATGGATTTATGTAATTACATCGCAAAAACTTGAATGTCCCGAAATTCGAAAATCTGAAACCCGACTTTGGGGGAATATTTAGGTTCGGGTTAGGTTTGATTTTTGGACACTGACTCATTTGAAAACCTGAAATATATACATACATATATATGTTAAATGTTATATAAATAGATTTATTTATCTAATTATCTTTTAAAAATCTCAAATCCTATCCGGTCATACTTTTTTTCAAATTTCTAAACCTACTACTAATTTCATCAATCCTTTTAATCGATTAAATTCAATCTCAAAATCAATTGAATATATATGAGCGATCAAATGAAAACCACTCCATTTGTAAAAACCATAAAAACTACTTTCATTCGTTGTAATCTTATGAAAATTTTTCATGAATTTTTTAATCTTGTGAAATTGTTTCATATAATATTTTTTTTGATGAAGTTGTTTTATATATGGTTATGAAATTGTTTCATATACTACTTAATGAAATTTTAATGAAACTGTTTCAT